ATACAAAATAAACTAATAAAAATAAATTCAAAATGGCTAGTCAGAAATTTCACAAATAGAGATATTTAAGGAATGTTCATTTTAATCACTATTACTGCATCATTCCCTTGACAATACATTAGATGCGTTCCCCCTTCTTCTGTTTCTTTCCAGATCTCATTTCCAAGTCAGGTTACTCATTTCAGCTCTTTTGGCTTCTCCTCTTGTCCCCAGGATTGTTAATCTGCAGCTGTGGCCACAGCACTCTCTCCAGAGCTCTTCACCTCTCACCTCTCACAGTAGCATCCCAGCCCAAATGTGTTTAAAGTCGGACCCATGACCTCCTTTTCGTAGTCTTCAATACATGATAATCCTACTCTTTCTGTTAATTATGTCATGGTCTTAGTTATAATATGATTTTATAAATGAATACAGTGCTAGAAATTATATTTCTATTCGGTCACAGTCAAGATCATGAAGAATTCTGATTCAGCAATCAGTTGAAATTGCTATCACTTTAGAAGAACACAAGCTCATGCAAGGTCAACCCTCATGCATTTCTCCTTACATTCCCAATCTTTCTGGCTTTGTGGGGGTAGTGTGGATAACAAATAAGTAAAGGAAGCTTAAGTTTTGCCTAATGTTTATATTAACCTGCTAAAGAATATCTGGGATTGTTTCTCTTATTTCCTTACCTTCACATTAGTCCCTCTCTGGCCTGGACCTCTAAACAGTAGCACAGTCTTATGCACTTAATAAGCAACCCTGAGTTCTCCAGCTTCACTTAGGCTACAGGATTGTCTCCCTACATGTCCTAACGAACCATTCTGCCCATCCCATACATTTGCTGCCAATCTTATATACCCTGTCCCTCAAAACTCTTAAACAATCTGGAGTTAAATTTGATCTCAAAAGGACCAAAAGAAATCGCTGTTAAAAAGAATGGGTTGTTGTGTTGTTCTTTTCATCTCATTGGTAGGACTCAGAAGTAGTTTCTCTTCTTTACTATCTAAAGTGCTGCATGCAATGTATTAGGCACCTCACATAGTACATTAATCTCATTTTGCCCTTCGATAAATGAGAAGCCTACGTTAAGTAAAACTAAATGTTTTTCCCAGATTTACCCATTGTAAATGGGACAAAATTAGGATTCTAATTCATATCTATCTGACCTCAAACCTTTTTTGCCTTTTCACTTATACTGCTTCTGATACTTATAGTAAATTAGGCAGCATGCTATTACAAACACTTTAATTGGATTTTTACCTATCTTCTGTGTAAGTATTTCTTGAGTTCATTTTGCTTAGAGCTAGAGTTAGAAAATTAACTTCAGATCCTTGCTTTCCAGGAACTATAGTTTAAGGAACAGATGTGGAAAAGATTCACAAAAAGACAATGGCAGGATGTATCAAGAGCTATGGAGGAGCTGGCATTGTGGTGTAGTGAGAAAAGCCATATCCTGCAATGCTGGCATTCCATATCAGCACCAGTTCATTTCCCAGGTACTCCACTTCCCATTCAGCTGCCTGCCAGTGCACCCACATGGGAGACCTGGATGAAGTTCCTAGCTCCTGGCTTCAGCCTTGGCCTGGCTCTTGGTGTTAGCATCACTAGAGAAGTAACTGAAAATCTCTCCATTCGCCCTCTGTAACTCTTTCAAATAAATAAGTAAGTCTTTAAAAAAAAGAGAGAGATAGAGAGCAGTGGAAACATATGAAAACCACCAAGCTCCATCAAAAGCCTTCACGGTATTAACAGCATTTGAACTAAAACTGAAGGATGAATAGGCATCCTGGGTGGATGAGGTAGAAGGAACAGTGTTTGTAAAATAACAGAAATTAAGAGCAAGGGTAAATGTGGGAAAACACCAGTATTTTTTATGTTCTTGTTCAGAGGTAAAGGTAGCAGGACACATAACAAGGAACAGAAAGGTCACCGCAGGTTGACAGTCATTGCAGGGAACTGCTAGTTTTTGTCTTCCACACAAAATCAACGGTGAAGAAATTTTAACAGGAAAATAGCATGATGAGTCTTTCCATTTTAAAAACTCATTCTGGGGGCCTGGCACAATAGCATAGCGGCTAAAGTCCTCACCTTACACACGCCAGGGTCCCATATGATCGCCAGTTCTAATCTCGGCAGCCCCACTTCCCATCCAGCTCCCTGCTTGTGGCCTGGGAAAGCCTTGGGGCCCTGCACCTGTGTAGGAGACCTGGAAGAGGTTCCTGGCTCCTGGTTTCAGATAGGCGCAGCACCAGCCGTTGTGGTCACTTGGAGAGTGAACCATCAGACAGAAGATCTTTTCTCTCTGTCTCTCCTTCTCTCTGTATATCTGACTTTGCAATAAAAATAAATATTTTTAAAAAGCTCATTTGGTAATAATACAGATTAAGTAGGTGGATGAGAATGACAGCAAGTACGCTGTTCTAGGACAGAGATTGGGCAGGACTGCACTGCGGCAGCGGGCCAGAGGGAGCAGGGCGACAGGGAGTCAGCAAAGACATGGCGCAGCATTTAGTTCACCCTGTAGTCAGAGCCTTCTCCCCTCTCATGTTCTTGATCTCCCTACTTGTATTTCTCTAAATTAAGGTAGGATAAGCAATAGTTTCCGATTTTTGATGGAGCTTTTCATTATCTTCATATAAGCACTTACTTTTCATGAATTTGATTTCAGAGTTTCACATCTGGATCATGCAGCGAAAAATCATGGAAAGCTCTCATAAATTTTATGAAATCTTTCAACTTCATCATGAAAACTTCAAAGTTAGAAACATGTGGTTCATACATCCCATTCTTCTCGTGTGCTTTTGTTCTGGAATTTATTTCAGTCAAGTTGTGATTTAAAAGCACAAGTAGAATTGACATGATTATTCCACAGTACAGATTTTAACATCATCATGATATTGTGTTAACCATAATTATACATTCCTCTTTTCCTTTTTCACATAGCAGGACCCAGAAGCTGTGACTTATGAACTTTTGCTTTCTTTTCTTTTTTTCTACTTGGTCTCTGAGTAACATTCTTTATGTCTTGCTTATCTCATACACTTCAAAGGAAATGGGCATTACTCAGCTCTGCAAGGGAATTGGAGGACTATAAATTGGTTTTCCCTGGACTTACATATATTCATTTATACACATACATTCACATATATACGTAAGACTCAATATTATGCCAACATTCAGTGCATGCTAAAGACCAGAAGGACCATGTTATCATAAATGGTACCCAAAAAGTTTGATCTGTTTCTCTCTGATATATGCAAATTGGTCATAAATAAATTTGCCCAGGTGTCTTTTAAAGTATTTTATTGGTTTTGAATGTAACCGTTTGATAACATAGAGTAAGAAAATCAAAGCTAAGAGGGAAAACACATGTATATTCATTAGTACTAAACAATACAGCAAATTATACTAACATTGTAATGTGTGAAAATTATTTTGAAAACCTCACTTATAGGGCCCGGTGTTGTGGATGCAGATTAAACCTGTGCCTATAATGCTGGCATCCCATATGATCACAGTTTGAAAGTCCCAGCTGTTGCACTTTTGATCCAGCTTCCTGATAATGCACTTGGGGAAGAAATGAAAGGTAGCCCACATGCTTGGATCCATAATACCCATGTGGGAGACGTGTGGAATTTCACACTCCTGGCTTTAGCCTGGCCCAACCCTGGCCAGCGCTGCAACAACCACTTGGGGAGTGAACCACGAGATGGAAAATGGCTTTCTCTTGCATTCACTTGTTCACTGTCTCTGTAACTCTGCCTTTCAAGTAAACTAAATAATTTTCTAAATAAATAAAATTTAAGTTTTAAAAATTATATTTTATATTAGAAATGTCTACTCTCAGTGAAATAGTAAAGCATAATTTTAAGCATTTTCTGAAATTGCCTTCACATCCTCATTGTCCAAAACCAGACAGAGTACAGTCCTACAACTATATAAAATATCTGCCTAAGATCATCATATTAACTTAGGTGTCTATAAGTCGGCATTTTCCAGAATCTAATTTAATTGAAATAGCTTTGCCTGTGTAAACTTGTCCTCTGTTTAAAGAAGATTTCACTGTTTAGTTTTGCCTTAAGCAAATGCAGCCTTTGTTTGTCCATAAAACATTAGATTAAATGTATACGCTAATATGAATAGCTTTTCATTGTGCCACATGCTCTGCTGGCAGTTGCCCCTTTGCTAGTGTCTGGTATGACTGACTGTCACTGGAAATCAGGGCTGCTAATATTAGCCTGATCTTAAAGAAAAACTTTATTGTTTTTTGGCAATAAAGCCTCCCATCTCCTTACCATTATTGATTTTACATTTATATATCTTGGATGTATTCTTTACATGCAGCTGATAATGCTCCTGATACTGTGTTAAGTAAGTACTTGCCCTAAAAAGTGCACTGAATTTTTAATCTTTTATTATCATTTGCCACTGTGATCTAAGTATCTTGGCTGCTGCAAAATAGGTTAGCATTCAGCCCTCTGTAAGAACTAGTGGATGATAAATGCTTCAGGAGGTTTAGTGTGTCTTCTCCAGTTCAACTACATTTTTGGTGTTTTGTTTTGTATAGGCAGATTTACAGAGAGAAGGAGAAACAGAGAGAAAGCTCTCCCATCCACTGGTTCACACCCTAAGTGGCCATAATGGCTGGAGCTTAGCCAATCCAGAGGCAGGAGCCTGTTCCTGGTCTCCCCTGAGGGTGCAGAGTTGCAAGGCTTTGGCCATCCTTTTCTGCTTTCCCAGGTCACAGTCTGGGACCTGGATGGGAAGTGGAGCTGCCAGGACATGAACCAGTGTGCCCATGTGGGATCCAAGCACATGCAAGGCAATGACTAGCCACTAGGCTAATAAACCGAGTCCTCAACTGCATTTCATTTCCTTATTTCCGTTTTGATGAAGATTCATTTAGAGATAGAATTCTTGGTTTATGTTTGTTTCTTGTAAAACTAACATTAAATTTCCAAAGGAGAGAGCAAGTGTTACAGTAGTCTTATAATGTGTATCTTTTCCCTGTTCAGGCAATGCTGGATGTGGCTGCAAACCAGGGCTGGTTAGTGACTGCCCTGAATATAACCAATCTGGTTCAAATGGTGATCCAGGGTCGATGGTTAAAAGACTCTTCCCTTCTCACATTACCAAACATAGAACAGCACCATCTTCACCTTTTCAGGTAAAATTATGTTAATTTTTAACGTAATTATTCCCCTATTTTTGATAATAGGAAATTAAGATAAATTCTATTATTCTAGTTTTTTTATTTCAAATAAAAGTCTTTTCTTAAATGTGTGGTCCGATAGAATTTTGTGATGTGCTTAGACTCTGGATTCCTCACAGTGAAAATGCTTCTGTTCCCGGCAAAGAGGCATGATTTTGTGACATAACATGCTGTCACCTACTATTATTGGAATTTCATCATTGATCCCAAGCTGATTCAGTATTCATTTTAACCTCTCCTATTTAAAATGCCTTTGATTTGCAGTATTGAATAAGTTTCTGCTTTTAACTACATTTATTCCTTTACAATACCAACCTTGATTTAATAATGTTACTGTTAAAGTGCTTTGTGATCTAAAGCAAAGTCATTTTGTCAGTTTCTGTTGTTATAAAACAGTTTGAAGGATCTAAAATCCATTGCCAAAATCAAAATAAAAAACTGATTATTTATATATGTTGGGAGCTCAAGATATAAGCTATTAGATTATTTACCCCACGTGTATGGTCTCTTAGACATAGGTGCAAACATTATAGCAAGGAAACCAGCAGTGCGTATTGTTAGTGAGATGTACAGCAGTTAAATGAAAATCTTTCACACTGATATTTTAAACCATTTGAAAGATACTTTGCAGCCGAAATCTTAGCTCACAATCATGTAGACAAACATAGCAGTATGGCTGGAGCCCACCACTACACACTATATTCTCGATTGCCGGATGTAGCAGTTCTTTGAGGTATGTAAATGGAGACACCAACAAGAACCACAGGCACACCTACAGCTGTCCTCAGTGTGATTCAAGTGGCTGAGTTCCAGGACAGCCGTGTGGAGCCGTGGTGCCTGCCATAAGATGTCCTTGAGAAAGTTAGGGACACTGGGAGCAGATGGCGTGGAGGGACGGATAGGCAGATAGCTCATGTGCATCTGCAACTTAGTTTCAGGAACCTTTCCAGTACTGTGATAAAGGTTGTGGGAGTGAGATTTCAGCAGTGAAGAAGGCTCTTTAAGGTTCTTCCCCCCGCTGCACGCAGGTTTGTCATGGGAGCTGCTTGGGGCCTAAGAGATTTATCTGGTTCAGGTTCCTGCGACCTTTAACACTAGTGTGTTAATGTTACTTCAGTTCTGTTTTTTCTTTTTGTTATAGGATTTAGGTACCCTGTGTTACTGAAATCTGGCATAGCAAGTGCTATAAGGCTCCAAAAAATTGCAAAAAATGTACTTTTAAAATTTTATGTTCCCACTAATTTACAGTATAAAACTTTGTTCAGGTAAACGTGGTAACGATATTTGCCAGCATCCATGAAAGACATGTGAGGGCTCCACATCACTACTTTGTCCACACAGAAGCATTGTTTCTTTGGAAAGACACACGTTATCTGTGAACCCTGAGAACTGCTGACCTCACGCATGATTTACGCGAAACATGATAGCAGTGCCACCCATGACTAATAGCTTAGGCAGTGCTGGCTCATTGTTAAAGTTTAAACATAATGTCTTTTAAAAAGTGATTATCTTATTATTTTTGTTTAATTACATAAACCACCACTGTCAGAAAATATCATTTGTGTTATGAGAAAAATCTTTGGTTGGTATTGGTATTGTTTAATAGGAAATGGAATAAGGGCCAACATAGTAAGTGTCCCACCTCCATTGAGTGCCTTCCTGAGCTGATCCATGCCTGTGGAGGGAAAGAGCATGTATTCAGCAACATGGTGGAAAGTGAGCTACACGCTGCAAAAACAAAGCAGGTGAGTACACCTTTCCCAAGGTTTGATTGAAGGCTGCTTTAGTCTGTCTGGACACTTACATCAGGACTTTTCTAACTTATAGAGCACTAGGGTTTGGAGTCAGTGTCACCTGGGTTTACATTCTTTCTGCCATTTGCTAACCATGATGATGAGCATGAAGACATTGACTGTCTCAGGAACTTCTTATGAAGTTAAGCACAACATGTAAGATGCCTTATGCAGTTCATGACAGAATGAAAAGTCTATAAATGATGCTAGAAATAGTAACAGTAATAGTAATTAAGACTAAAAGAGAGATTGCTAGAAGATGTGCCAGTATAATACTATTAAGCTGTGAAAGGCATCCACAGGCTGTGCATCTATGTTACCTATGTATGTTACTTCCTCCCTTCAAGGTCATTTTTATTTTTTATGCTTGGATGTATTTTCTTGCAATTCCATCAGTTTCCTACTTATGCCCCCTTATTTTAATCAGATAAATTCCTTCTGTGTGAACTGTGTGAGCTATATAGGAAAATAAGTCTTTTTGAAAAACAGCATGAATCATCTCTTCAATCTTTGGGAAGGCCCCAAAAAAGTGACTGAACATTGCCAGAAATGTTTGGCTCTAGGCTTTTAAGTCTTAAGCAGTTTTACCCTATACATGTCAAAGTAAATGTTCAGGATTTATAGCATAATTAACATGTTAACTTGCAAATTCAGGTATTAATGAAACTTCTAAACCATGCCTTTCTTTTTCTCAGTGAAACTTATTTTTAACAAGACTTAGAAAAAGTGTAACAAGCATAGTGTCAGATTGTTCAGTTTCTGTTAAGCCCATAGTTGGCAAAAAAATTATTTAAATATTCATAATAAGTACCTACCTTTCTAACTAAATTACCATCAAAATTATGAATAAAAACAATATCTTTAAATCAAAGCAAGACTTCTGCTAGCAACAACAAATTTCCAGTATAACATACATTGACTTCTGGCCAAGTTTTAGATGTGATGAAAAATTAGAACATTGTTATAATTAGTTCAGGGAGAACTCAGAAGTAAACTTACTTAATTTATTTGCATAAATTGCCATTCTGTTATCTTTAAAACCAAATGCAAATTGGCTCTGTCTGATATGATGATGGTTATTTGGCTCAAAAGTGCTTCAATTTGCAGAGCAATCTGGTGTCGGCTCTGCAGTGAGGCGATCCCAGGTAACATACAAATCCTGAATTATTCCAGAAATTAGTATGTTTAAAGCATCAATTTAAGTGCTAATTGCAGTAGTAATGAGAAAAAGCAGTACGACTGTGAGATTTGCATCTCCTACCCCATCAGTATGCCTGGAACGGCTGCTGACTGGCAGAGGATTTCGCTGCTAATTAAATAATTGTATGCATGGCAGTGCTCTTGCCTGATTCAATAGATGAAGATTAATCCTCAGATAAATATGTTTGGCTGGTATTGAAATGTCTTAGCAGTTTCTTTAAAAATAGCTCATGTTTTATATAAATAAATATATAAATATACTCAATAAATATATGTGTACATATTTTTGAATTGAAAAATAACATTCTACAAAGAAGATTTCATAAATATAAAAGCTATATATGACTTTAGTGGACTTATGTCATGCTAATAGCAGAAAACATCATGTTGGTAACTAATTTAGCACTACAAGTGAAAAAACAGGAAGTCTTGTTTCAGGTGATAAACATTGCTTGTATTGTCTCAAAAAGTTAAATGCCTTACGGAAACTTTTTGGTGTCCACTTAGCCACTTTTCCAAGCTGGCCAGTCTACAAGAACATCAGGTGGTACAGCATCCATACTCAATGGCTCTCGGTTCTAGGAGATCCTTTGCTTCTAGTATATTCTGTGGCTTAACCATTTCAAAATATGGTTCCAGGCATAATTTGAGATGAACATGACAGGTTTACAGGATTGGAGTTGAACTGAAAAATCTGCCTCACATTTGTCGTTTTTTTAATTTCTAAAAGTAGTTTGGTTCCTTAGAACTGTTTCATTTTGGTCAGGTTAGACTGTATGGCCTTTGCAACAGGAAGTCAAAGTATTATGAAACTTACAGTAGATATTAAAGAAATAAAAAATACCCATGTAGTTTTTTGTTGTTGTTGTTGTTGCTGTTGTTTACACATAAGAAGTGTCAACTGTTAAGCCAACATAGGGAGACATTTTCTTGACTGATTATGATATTACAACCTAATTGTAAATGTTAGAGAATACTACTCAGTTGTAAATCTAAGTAGCTTATTCTATATGTTCTTTCTACTCGTAAGCATTTAGTATTTTAATACTGATTTCCCACAAATATCATTCAGTTTAAAGAGCAAGGATAAAACTGGAAAAATATTTTCTACTCTTTAATGTATGCCATTTTAATTGGCATTATCAAAAATATGTTTGCCTCCAGAAAGAAACCTAGCTTACAAGATTCCTTGTAATATATAAACATATAGACATTCACCTCTCAGAGTGACGAATTTTCACAGTGTGGATGTCTTTTATAGTTTGTGGTCAATGTATGATACCAACATGAAGAATTACATTGTTATTTTTTTAGGTTGCCTTTATATCACCCAAGTAGTGCTCTGCTTTAGAAGTTACAGAAGTATAACAATAGATGCTTCTCTGAAACAGACTAGTTCATCAACAAACTCTTTTATACTCATTATTTCTTTTTTTTTTAAAGATTTATTTTTATTATTTATTTTTTATTGGAAAGGCAGATATACAGAGAGGAGAGACAGAGAGAAAGATCTTCCGTCTGATGATTCACTCCCCAAGTGAGCGCAACGGGCCGATACTTTGCCAATCCGAAGCCAGGAGCCTCTTTCGGGTCTCCCACGCGGGTGCAGGGTCCCAAAGCTTTGGGCCGTCCTCAACTGCTTTCCCAGGCCACAGGCTGGGAGCTGGAAGGGAAGCGGGGCTGCCGGGATAGAACCGGCGTCCATATGGGATCCCGGGCGTGCAAGGTGAGGACCTTTAACCACTGCGCCACCGCGCCGGCCCGATTATTTCATTATTTCATTATTTCATTATTTCTTAATATAGCTAATGACCTTTCAATATCAGGAGTGATTTCCAGTAAAGTATTACAAGTTTAGATACTGAAAATATTTTTTAATTGTTTCTAAAGCAACTTTTGAAACTTTAATGTGTGTTGTTGTACACACATACACATGAATATAAGAAAAACTTGGGAAATCTGAACAAGATCAGTGGAGGTATCAATGTTAATATCCTAGCTGTAATACTGTAGTCTTGTTTTGAAGAATGCTCTGCCTGAGGAGAAAATTAGCAAATGGTCCATAGTATTTCTCTTTATAATTTTTTACAACTGCACTGAATCCAGAGTTATTCCTTAGTTGATAACCCCCACCTTTTTTTTTAATTTAGGCATGGAATTTCTTATCTCGCTTGCCAGTGATAGATGTTAGTATAAGTGTTAAAGGCTCATGGGATGGCTTAGTTGAAGGACATAATGAACTCTCCATTTCAAATCTGACTATGGACAAACGAGATGACAACAAATGGATCAAGTTGCAGGCTGATCAGGAGTATGTGCTTCAAGTCAGCTTGCAGAGAGTCCACTTTGGGTTCTACAAGGTATGGTGTTTGGTTTCCATTCTCGCATTTTATTTCATACCAAATACCAGCATGCACCACCACACATTTTTTTTGTATTACGAATGTATCCGTGTCATTCATGAATCCTGCTTTCTCAACTGTCCTTAAGCAGTAAGAGTCAGTCTTTTGAAATTAGTTCTCCTCAAATGCTGTTTTCAATACCCCGAGAATATCTACCATACTACTAATACTGATTGCAAAATGTGATCAACAGACTCAGGCGAGCAGATTTTCCTGGAGTACCTCATAACTTGACAGATTCTTGACCCCCCTCAAGATTAGCTGAATCAGAACCTCATGGAAAGTGGTCTCAAAATGTAAGCTTTATTTAGCATCCAAATGTTTATAAAGATATCTAGATATGAATAAGATGCTAGGGATTTTGAGCCCCAGTTGCCACCTTGGCCAGCTTCTTCCATCATCTTAGGACAAATAAAATTTTTTTTTTTGTTGTAAATTACTGTGGTGTATTCGGTTGCCTCTGACACCAAAATTAATTGTTTGGCTCTCTGAGACTGTTAGTGCACAGCATGTACACAGATTGATTTGTAGTACCTTAGTAATTGAAATAAGAAAAACATTGTCTTTTTAGCCCAGTGTATTCAGGGCTTTCTCGTGTCTAGAATAAGCCCTTAGAGGTGAAATTGTGTTTTATTAACACCCCCTCTTTTCACACACAAAGTGACCAACAACTTAAAGGTCCACACTTATTTGTTGTTCTTTCAAGCTTCACATCATGATTTTTTTTATTTTAAATTTTGAATTTTATGGCATAAATCTGTAGAGCCATGATTTCTAATCTTAAAAAACAGTCAGTGTACAGATGAACTGATTGACCTAAAGCAGCATTTCAGAGTTAATGTGAACATTTTTAGCTGAGTTAATGTTTTCTAACAACACCCCCCCCCAAAAAAAAAACACAAAAATGTTAGTGGTCATAAAGGTAAAATGGGGAAAAAAATGAGTTTTTTTAACCATAATGTGCTAAGAATATAGATTTAGTCATTTCAGAGAAAATCAGTATTTTCTTTCTGAATGATATGAAGATGCAACATTACTATGTGGCCCTTCTTTGAGAACACTGCAAGTTAAATATCTGTGTAAAACACTGAGTGACTGATTTAGAGCACATCATTATTACTCCATTTTATGCCATAAAGTTTTTGCCATAAAGAATCACTGAAGTAATATTGCATTTGTAAAATTCAATCTAAAATAACGTTCAAATGCTATCATTATACCTAATCTTAGATTGTGTTGATTTATATGTTTTTGTTTTGGTTTGGTTTTGGTTTTATTTATTTTTTTTATTTTGGCAGTCTTTACATAGTTAATTAGGATAAAAGGTTCAAGGGTTACAGGAAAGTGGGTAAGACTAGCATTTTTTCCATATTGTTTCCTTCATGTTTAAAGGGGGATATTAAGGGAGAAGGCCCACCCAATCTTCCACCCTCCCTAGGTCCCAGATGTAGGGTATGCTCTGAGGTTCTTGCTCCAGTGGTTTTGATATTTCAGCAGTTATGAATCGCTGCCAATCTTGCCACTCCAAGCGCAATGAAGTCTTTGAAGAATCCACTGATTGACATAGTCCGTCAGAGCTGAGATGGTTGGTTGACCTGTTCTGTCTTCTCTCTTTTCTTGGTTAGGGTTCTTGAGTCCAGCATTTTGATTGGGGAGATCTCCAAAGAAACTTTGAGGTGTGCTCAAACCAAATTATTGTATATGCAAGTACAGGGCCCAGCACAGTCCATGGGATTTATATGTTTTACACATTGGTTGGTTTCCCATTCTTAAGAGGCAGGACTGTTTAATTTTACCACATCAGAATATTATCTTTTTTTTCTGAATGTTTTATTCTAGATGAGTGGAAGGTATCTATATGGCATAAGTATCATTATCTTGAGATTTAGCATCTAGGTTGCCTTTGTTTCTGTAAGCATCAGTTCCTTTCAGATAAGGCTTTGGAAGATTTCGTTAATATGGCTTATCTTAATTGTTCATCTGCAAAAAATACATTAACAATAAGTTAATGTACAAATTGATGTCTACATTTAGAGCTTCTATTCTAGCAGAGTCAAAATTTTGATTGCTAGTAGCCAGAAACTGGTGTTTGCAATGTATCCTGAAAATCTTAAAGTAAAAACCTGTCAAACCAGAAAGGAAGAAAATTTGAAATTGATAGATACACTCTAAGGTATACATCTATGGCCTGTCGTATAGAAAGTTTAAACATTATACTAATGTTTTATGCTTTGTTCTGGTTTCCAGGGAAGGCAAGAGACCTGTGCAGTAACCCCTCGATTTCCCAAATCCAAAGATGAAGGATGGTTTTTAATATTAGGAGAAGTAGATAAGAGAGAACTTATTGTTTTAAAAAGAGTAGGATATATACGAAATCATCATGTGGCTTCCCTTTCATTTTATACCCCTGAAACACCTGGAAGGTAAGCAAGCATAATTTTAACAACAGTGCTACCAGAATTGAGTGGGGTTGAGTAGAAAGATAGATTTATATTTTCGCTCAACTGTTTTATTCTAGGTATATCTTTACACTGTATCTCATGAGTGACTGCTACCTTGGCCTGGACCAACAATATGATATTTATCTGCACGTCACAGAAGCAAATCACACTACACAGGTCAACGCAGAGGTCACCGATGCCCTCATTGAGTGAAGCACCCTGACCCAATGGATCAATTTAAAAGAAGCATTTAACAAGTATGACCCTTTAGCCGTCTAGACAAAGTCCAGTTACTTCATGTTTGCCATGACAGAATCAACTTCTAACCTGGTAGACATCCTACACGTTGACAGTTGCTGCAGTATTGACTCCAGCAGCACAAAGTTGGATGCAGTGGCCTTTTAACAAATGTTGCCTTTTATAATGTTGTCTCCATGGGTTTCTTGATACTGTAAAATGGATAAGTATGTAGGACAATCTCTTAAATTGTGTATGTTTGAGACAATATCCAGAAATTTTCAATCAAATCTCACAAGATGCTGTTTACATGAATGTCAGTTTCGGGATTTTTTATTTGTTTGTTTTGTTCTGTTTTTTTTTTAAGTAAAACTGCCATAAGGTCTGACAATGTCAGGCTTTTAATTGTGCAGTGTAAAATATGTGAGATAAATATGCAAGGTGATTCACTATGTATCTTGATAGCAAACATTATACTTTGATCTCATTTAGAAGCAGTTTGAAGAAATTCTTAGTCATAAATGTTAATAATATATGACATAAAGTTATGGAATCCAGTGATGATGAAACAAGAAAACAGAATATACTGATCTTGAAAAATACATTTACTACGACTGGTGCAAATAAAATATGCAGAGTTTCACTTGAAAACAAGCTCAATTTTTTTTTCCTGACTTCCTTTTCTTTATAAACCTCCTTATGCTTGTTTCCCTTCTACTTTGAGACTATTTCCATTGTCTTTCTGATATATTTCTTTATGCAAGAAAGCAAGCATAATATAATTGTGCTTTGGCATGTACAGACACAATCATGTTCTCCTAGACATGCCTGAAACAAACGCAAGGTTTAAATGGTGGATAGGTTTTTCCACTATGAATCAAGAAATTTCTCCTTATCTAAACAAGTTAGGTCTGGCGGGGGAAACTTATCAAGGTATGTACTTGCATCCCTGCCACCAGCATGGAAGACCCAGATGGAATTTCTGGCCTCTGACTTGGGTCAGGCCCAACCCCAGATGTTGCAGGGATTTGGAAGTGAATCAATAGGTAAAAGTTCCCCCTGCCAGTCTCCCTCCCTCTTTCTCTCTTTCTCTCTGTCTCTCTCTCGGGGTGTGTGTGTGTGTGTGTGTGTGTGTGTGTGTGTGTGTGTTTCCTTTATCGTTCTGGCTTCCACAGGGGGAGCAACATGCAGGCTAATCTCCCACGTTTAGTGCCAGCATCCCAAATGGGTGCCAGTTTGTGTCCCAGCTGCTCTACTTCTGACCCAGCTCATTACCAATATGCCTGGGAAAGCACAGGATGGCTCAAGTCCTTGGGCCCCTGTACCTATGTGGGAGACCTGGAAGAAGCTACTGATTCCTGGCTTTGGACTGGCCCAGTTCCAGTTGTGGGATCCATTTGGGGAGTGAACCAGCAGACAAAAGATTTCTCTGTGTGTATGTGTGTATCTCCTCTCTGTAAATCTGCCTTTTTGATAAATATAAAACTATAAAGCATAAAAGATTATATATTGAGATTAAATACAGACACCGATTACTATTCTGTACAGAAGTCTGAAGCAGCCTTTGGGAAGTGGGGGAGCAGTTTCACCAATAATGTATATACACAGGACTCCAAATAATAAAGAAGAAATTTGTTATGCCTGTCAAAGAGAAAAAAATATTGTGAAAAATTAGAATTTTAAGATTATAACTTTTTTTCTGAATAAGCCACATGGGACACTAGTAAGGCAAAGTGTACTTAATTGTAAGTTAGTCTTATCCTAATGAGTGACCAACAGTATTTGCCTGCAAATTTGCATTCATGTTAAGTATGTCTTGGAACATATGCCAACATAATCTGATTAGTACTATGTTCAATCTGTCAAAACATTAACTTTCCATCACATATATAGTAGCCAAGAATTTCAGTAGTTTTAAAAAATGACTCCAAGTCTAGATTATTTAGAGTGTTTCTTTGTCTTAAAATTTATGAATGGAGTCTTGTTTTTGTAGAGATAGGTATTATGCTAAATATTCCAGTAGGTAGAGTATAAAGTGCTTCTGTAGCTGGAGCAAGCACAGTCTGCTTCGTCTCTGCCCATGCATCTCCAGGCTCACTGCTGCATCACACTATTCTGATTTCGTGGCTTACTATTTCATAGTCCTCAGGGGGTTTTAGCAATCCAAAATTATTGGAGTAGCAGTCAGATGTTTTTCTGAGCCACTATACTGACTACACTGATAACCATGTGATTCGGGATATTCTGTTCTCAAGCAGAGTAGCCTCATGAGAAAAGAAGTGCAGAATTGTAGGTCCAACAGCCTGGCTCAATTGGCTAATCTTTTGCCTGCCTGCCTGCCTATATACCCATGTCTGTAGCCCATATGAACCAGTTCATGTCCCAGCTGTTCCACTCTTTATCCAGCTCCTTGCTTACAGCCCGGGAAAGCGGAGCAGAGTAGGGCAACCCAAAGCTTTGAACCCCTATAGTCAAGTGGGAGACCTAAAAAACGCTTCTGGGTCCTGATTCAGATCAGCTCAACTCCAGCTAGTGCAGTCTTTTGGGGAATGAAGCATCCAACGGAAGATCTTTGTCTCTCTCCCTGTTAATCTGCCTTTCCAATAAAAATAAATAAATCTTTTTTGGAAGTACAAAATTATAAAAACTTTTTTGGAAGTACATATTATAAAATCTATCATAGTGATAGTTTTAGGGAGTAAATGCTCTGGGACTTCAAGGATAAACTATTCCCTTAAATCAGAAGAGTAAGACTGGCAGCAGGTTAAGCAGTCTGCATACTGTACCCATTCGTGTCCCAGCTACTTCACTTTTCCTCCAGCGCCCTGCTAATGTGTCTGGGAAAACAATGGGAGGTAACTCAAATACTTGAGTCCCTGACACTCACCCATGTGGGAGACCTAAATGGCTCCCGGCCATTACAGTCATCCGGGGAGTAAATCAACAGATGAAGACCACTCTCTGGGTCTCTCTTCTTTCCTGCCCTTCTGTAACTCTGCCTTCCAATTGAAAAAAATATTACCCCCCCCCCAAAAAAAATCAGGGAGCCCTGATATTGGGTAACACAAGTTTAAGCCATCACTTGAAATTCTGGCCTCCCAGAAGAGTGTCATTTCAAATACTAGCTACTCTGAAAGATGGCCAGAGTTTTTGGAGTGTTGCTATGCACATGGAAACCCTGACAGAGCTCCTGATTCAAGTCTCCAGCCTAGTCCAATCCTGGATATCGTAGTCATTTGCAGAGTAAATCAGTTGGACGATTTCAAACTGTTCTCTCCCACACACACTCTTTCTTTCAAATAAATAAATGTGTTTTTATTAAGTCTTAAAAAGAAATTTGGCTAAAGGTTTTTAACTTTTTCCTATTTTAGCAGGCATGTTTTTCAGATGGCTAGAATAATGAAAGCACTCCAGGTAAAACAGAACTAACAAGACTCTAAGAGATGCTTTGTTACATGTCCATTTGAGATGTACTTTCAGACATGAAAATGATCAACAGGGGTGAAGAATGAAAATATCTGTAAGGATAACTGGGATTAAAGAATAGGAAATGGAAACAAACATTTGGCACAGTCCTTAACTTGTCATTTAGGTTACCCTTATCTCATTTCAGAGTAGCTGATTCAAGTCCTAGCTCCTCTGCTTCCAGTCCACTTTGCTGCTTGATACCATCCTGGAAGACACAGACCATGCCTCTCACTTGGGTCTTGACCAATCACCTATGAGGCTAGAGTGGGGTTCTTAGCCTCTTGTTCTGGCCTGCCCCCAACCCAGGCTGTTGCATTTCCCTTTTTCTCTCTCTAATGAAATTTAAAAAGTAAAATAATGTTTTAAAGACCGTTTAAAAAAAAAAAAAAAGACCCAAGTAGATATATCTACCTGGCAACCTGCATTCTTAATCTTTGTGCCTAGTTCAAGTCCTTTTCTAATCCATCTTCCTACTAATGCACACCCTGTGGGATAGCATATAATGATTCAACTATTTGTTGATTTCCAGGGTTCTGGCTTCAGCCTGGCCCAAATTTAGCTGTTAAGAGAATTTGGAAAAGGAATGAGTGGATATAAGATCTCTTTTTTCTGTTTCTTTGCCTTTCAAATAAAGTCAAATAGTTTAAAAAAAAAAAAAAGACAAAAAGAGGACCAGCACAAATGCTTATGTAGGCAGTGAAATCCATTTACAAGTCATGAGAGGTCAAATTTGGCTTTGTGGGAGCTTTATTTTGGGAAAATTGATTTGTCATAGACAGACACAGAGAAGATGACCACACAAGGAAATGTTCCAGTAAAGGACAAGGTAAAAACATAACCACAATAAGCCAAAAACTAAAAAATATTATGATGAAAAGCATTGTGAGACTAGAAAACAACTGTATATATAGAGAGAAGACAGAAGCCAGTGATGGAGAACGAGCACTAAATCTACAGGTGGAGAAAGCAGAGCCAAGGCTCCTAAGGTTGGGGGGGGGATGGGTTTTAATGAGCATTAATAGTGATTTCTAACTAACATTGGAAAAGAGCAAGTGTAGATTGTGGAGTGTAAGGACATGAGTGGGCAATGAATAAAGAAGGTAATTCTACAAGCTTCACCCAGGCATTAGTGCAACGAAGTGGATGCTGATGGGGTGTGCACACTAGTTGATAAGAATCAGCTTGTTTCCTGTATTGTTCTCTGGCCTGAATACCTGTACACATACAAATACTTGCTCCCTTCACCACCACTGAGACAAAACAACAAAACTCACCTCCCACACACATGGATTGCTCTTTAATCTTACCAGTGTTGTCTCCCTCTGCGTAGGGTAGATTCTTGTTGCCTTGTAAGTAAACCTCCTCTTTCTGGTTATTTAGAGCCAACTGGAATTCAACTGTCAGAAGCAATACAACCCCAACACCGTACATCCCAGTACAAAACCACAGGAAGCCTAAATCATGGGGATCCTTCAAACCTAACAATAAGAATTGGAACATTGGGGCCTGGCGCAGTAGCCTACTGGCTAAAGTTCTCACCTTGCACACACTGGGATGGGCACCACTTTGTATCCCAGTCATCTTGCTTTCCATCCAACTTCCTCATTGTGGCCTGGGAAAGCAGAAGAGGACACCCCCAAAGCCCTGATTCCCATCCAGCTCCCTACTTGTATCCTGGGAAAGTAACTGAAGACGGCCCAAAGCCTCGGGACCCTGCACCCACATGGGAAACCAGGAAGAAGCTCCTGACTCCTGACTTTGGATCGGCTCAGCTCTGGCTGTTGCAGCCACTTGGGGCATAAATCAGCAGATGCAAGATCTTCTTCTCTGTCTCTCCTCTCTAAGTATGTATATGACTTTCCATTAAAATAAGTAAATCTAAAAAAAAAAAACAACTGAAGCATTAAAAGCAATAGAAAATGGCTATCAACTTGAGCCCCTGCACCCATGTGGGAGCCCCAAATGAGGCGCCTAGCTTCAGCATGATGCAGCTCTAGCCATTGGGGCCATTTGTGGAGTGAACCAACAGACATAAGAGCTTTCTGTGTCTTCCCTTTTGCTGCTCTTCCTTTCAAATAAATAGATCAAGCTTAAAAAGAAGAAAGAAAAATAATGTAAGAAAAAAATGAAATTCCACTAGTAGCTCTGTTAGAAGATAGACTGACATGGGACATGTGATTACC